GAAACTTTGAGGCAAAAATGTACATACATACTGAGAAAGCAATAATTTGAACCACATGGGTATTTTTAATATGCTGTACATTTGAAGCAAGTAACTCACCCATTCCATTCCACACACTTAGTGTAAATTACTCCTTTCCATTGTGTATAATCTTTGGAAATCTATTTGGATTAGCCAAAAGAGGGCACCAAAGAGGTGTCTTTGCTATGAAGCTAGGCACAGAGAGAGTCATTTCTGGTAAAAAAGAAAAAAAAAACTCTTTGATGTATGGAATCCTGCAGACTGGAATTACTAGCAAAGTTTAACACAGGGCAATTATGCAAAAAAAAAAAAAAAGTGCCTGTAGCTTATTGTAAAAATAATGCTTTATTCTTCATGCTGCCGCTTTACTGCACAAGTAATAAGAAAGCCATGGAGGGGGGGGACAAAGACAACTGATGTAAACATGTTATGAAATATCATAAGTTTGTGTAACTGAGGAGATTGTGCAATGCCTTTCACAGAAGCCATAATTTTTGCCTATAATGAAAAGGCAGCTGGGGGGGGGAGGGGGAATAAAGAGAGAAATGCAAATTGAGAGAAAAAAGGCAAGGAACAAACTGGCCATCAGACTTCAGTCCCAACAGGAAATATTCCTCATTCTTTAAGTTCTGACATCATTCAAGACCAGACACTGACCAAAAAAAAGTATCCCAAAAATGTAGCCAGATTGCTCAGGCCCTGTAAGAACTTGCTTTTTGAAACTCAAAACCCAATCAACAATAAATACCAACAAGCCAAGGAATGTCTGAATACCAAAGGAAAACAGTAATTGCCCTTTCTTGTTTGCCTGAAGATAAAGCAGATACAAAAAAAAGTACATTCCAATTCCTTCTGGGAAAAACTGTTTAAAAAAATGTAGAAACCAAATTGAATTGATTCCTTTGAAAGGATAGGAGCTATTCAGTGTGTGTGTGTGTGTGTTGTATTTTGCCTATGGAAATGACTGTATCATTCAAACAGCATTTCAGCAGATTGAAACGCTTCACGGAAACAGCATTAGAATTTATGGAAGGGAAAATGATCCCAGCTAGAATAAAAGAGAAGAGCTGCAAAGAAGAGAGAGAAAAAATCCATATTTTAATAAATAGAATTCACCTGACAGATTCCACTAACTTGCAATACAGCAATAAAGACAGTAATATACTGTGCCTAATCTAGAAAAACCATTTTCTTCTTGCTTTACATTTTTTCGATATAACAAATTATTTACAATCCATTGCAAAAATGCTTTTTTCAGTAAGTTGGGTTTGTAGTTGGCTATTTATTAGATGGGATTATAAAGAAAGTGCTGAACTGCATTTACAAAAACATACAAAACCTCTGCCATCATTAACATACTGAAATTAAAAAAACAAATATGCAATCCTACATCGGATTTTGAATGGAAAAAGCCATTTAGCTTTGTGCATATAATGTCTAGTTCGACAACCTGAGTTAAGGTAAATTATAAATCAAGTTAATAACACTAACATTAAACCTATTTTGGAAATGTAATTATTTCAATCAAGATTATTTTGGTAAGAGTTGTAATTTCTACCTATTCAAGCACAAAGTATTGCAGCCTCTTTAGAATCCTAAAAATGACATGGACAATCTGTTTGTACAATGGGAGAAAAAGGAAATCTAGAATCAGAAACCAATTTGATTTGAGATTCACAGAAAGAGACATGTGGTTATTTGGAAATTTGACTGAAAATATTTCATAACCCTACAAATTCTGTCCACTGCAAATCTACTTCTACCAAATAAAGTACAGATAAATGGGGGCTGGTGTCATAGTAAAAAAATGCTGGCCATTACAAATTACATATTAAGGAAACATTTTGCATTTTAGAAATATTATCTTGGAAAATTGAAAACTAGTATTTGAAAAGGGAGAGAAGAATTTCTTATTTCCAAAGAGTGAGGTAGAAGTGTATTATCTCTGTAAACCCATCACTAAATAACCAATCTTTCCCCCCTTTTTACGATTTTTGATTCATATTTTTCATCCTAATTACAAAATCAGTTCAGACACTGAAAAAACAAAAATAATTCAGACGCATTCCCAATTTTGAAAACTAAAATCAGCACATTAAAAAGTATAGCCTAATTTTGCCCACATACAATTTGCCAGGATCCTTCCCATAGGCCAACTATAATGAAAATAACCTATCTTTCTTTGGAACTTTTAAATAATTTTCTAAGGTCATTGTAGATTCCATTTTTCTAGATTTGCACAATGGTATTACAAATACATTACCATCTCATTCCAAATCCTTAATTCTGTCCTGACAGTTATGTGAGCTGGCACCATATTCCCTGAAAACATCTCTCTTTTTTGTTTTATTTTTTCCAAACCCTAAAAACTATTATTTCAGTTGAAGGAATTTAGGAACTGAAGCAGTTCAAAGGAGATTCCCATTGTGGCTTCTCCTGGGAACAGACATGTAAGACCTGGACTGTTCCCAAGAACTGGTACCTTTCATAATTTCCTTTCTCTCCTTAAACTTGTATTTATTAAATAAGAAATTTAGCAATAAGAAATAGAGGAATGATATATAAAGAAAATATATCTGTCCATAAAGTCACATGCATTTCAAGTGACTTCATTCCGTTTCTGTCATTTAAGTGACTTTTACTCTGATTGAGTTAATCTCACAAGGGTCCAGGTGAGCCTCAACTACCTTGGGATTATTTGGCCTTTAATGTGGGTATCACTGGGCTCACAGATTAGAAACATTAAGGCTCACTGCCTCTCCTAATTTTAAAATCGTTACTTTTTTTATTCAAACATTAGTTTTCTGCTGGAAAATAGTTTGCTGCAAAGCAAAGCACTAGTTTCCAACATAATCATGTGATGCAGTATAAGCATGTTAGCTCATTTGTATGTTTTGGTGTGGTGTGCTTTTTGTCTGAGATTTTCTTCTATGTGGGAGTATAATGATCTCTGTGTTTCTTTAAACATAACCTGTTTGCATTATGTGGAAAAAAAAGTATTTTGTTGTGCTTTGTGCAGGCAGATACGTGTTTTGGCACTTGACATTCAGACCACACCTCTGCACTGTATTCACTTGGCAAAGTTTTTTATCTCTCAGCCTAAGTCTCCTCAATTTGCCCTCTGTGAAATGGGTACTGGAGTAAAAGACTATGAGCTCAAAGCAGAAATGTGTTTAGAGGTCCAGAAATGTGTTTAGAGGTCCAGAATTCATTCTTGCCTTCATAGGTAAAGTTCATAGGTAACCTACATTTTCTGTTTTGTAAAATAGGAATTTTGTGACTTGCCCTAACTATCTTGGTGGACATTTATAAATGTGCAAGTCCTATTGCCCTCTTCAAATTGTTAAGAACATATATAATTTTTTCTTAAAATGTGCCCAACGCTTAAAAGGGTCGGGGATTCCTGGCTTATGGTCCATCCCCAGAGCCGATTATTTTCTACTCTGTAATCTCACCCCACAACCACAAAATCTGAACTTTTGGAAACACCGTAAGGGGTAAAGTCAAGCCAAGAAAACATCATAGACGACCAGACCTACATTTAGCTTGCTGTTTGCAAACTGCTCATTGGGGGGGGGGGAAGTGATTCTACTAAGTAAACCTGAAGACGGACTTGGTTCATCTCCTCCTTTGCACTCTTAAAAGTCCACAAAAGAAACCAAGTACCTTCAGCTGAGGTACCAGGCATTTTGGCATTCTTTCCCAGTGGCAATGATTGAAGAGCGAGGCCCACACATCCCCTTTTATACTGTTTACACGCCAGTGGAAACCTGTGTTAACAGTTCCAGAAGGCTACTCATGATTTCCTCTCTTTTGTTCCCAATTAGACATTTCATTCCGAGAAAAAACACGCCGCCGACCGTCGTACCCACCCAACCCTTCGCTCGAGCGCATATTGAGATGGCCGCTCGGACTTTCTCTTCGCCCTGGATTTTATAGATTCTCGCCCAGAAAGGCTCGCCTTTCCTCCGACTCCCCATTGGAGGACCTCAACAGACGCCGAGGAAAATGGACCGAAGATACACTTCCCTGAAGAGACCCTGAAGCCAAGAGAAGCAAAGCTACCCCCTACACACACACACACACGCCACCGCCCGCCTCTGCCTCAGCGCCTTTGGCTCCACCAGAGGCCAGCACAAACTGCGGAAAGCAAAACCGCCCAAGGGGCACAGGGCTGTGGTTGGGCTGAACTCAAAGAGTCCCGGCGACGGGATCGCGAGCGGACGACCGAACCGTGAAGCTCTCTTTCCTAGGAAGAAAAGGAAAACAAGGCAAGGAAGAGGACCGCCCGCCCCCAACCCCGCTTACTTAGCCGGCGCGCCGCCTAACCGGTGGCTCAGGGTCGCATTGGGCTTGTCACTCCGATCGGGCTGTCTCCTGCCTACCAACTTCCAAGGGTTCTCTCTCTCTCTCTCTCTCCTGCCTTGCACTTCCAAGGACTTGTTCGCGCTCACCCGCAACCGCCCTAACTATTGAAAAGCCGCGGCCGTTTCCGCCTCCTTTTAAGGTGTGAGCGCGCAGAGAGGCGGCTATTGGACTGGAGGCCAAAGGAGACGCGTCGCCCGCTGCTCCCTTCTAATCTCCGACTGAGGGAGAGGTCCAGGCGCGCACACAGGAGGTGGACTGGGTGTGGTTAGCGAACTTTACTATTTGATTAAGGAGTTGCTGCGAGCCGCGGAGGAGGGAAGGGGCATAGATCGCCTGCGGGGGGGGGGGGAGAGAGAAGCGTGCGACGGAGAGGCGCTGAGAAGGGGGAGGAAAAGCAAATAATAATCAGGACGATAACAGCGACCCGAATCACGCAAAGCCACAGTATAATAAAATGAAAGAAAGTGCCCCCTTCCCCCCCCAAGACAAATTGCTGTTACGGGATCACAAACGGGAGAGAGGATCAATTTAGGAGAGGAGAAAGTGCACGTCGATGTCAGAACCGGATTTTAGCAACTTGGCGACCAAGGTGCTTGGGCTGGCCCCCTTACCTGTTGAGTTGTGATGCTCGAGTAAGTTTCCGGATGCCCTGGAGAAGTGCTGCTGCCCCGAGAGGAGGTATCAAAATTCGCCGGATAGTCCTGGTACATTGTCCGAGGTACAAGCAGGAGAGAAATAATAATGAAAAAAAAAATCTTTTTAGTTGTCGTTCCCTCTTGTTCAGGCTCTTCCTGTCTTGTTTCCAATCGTATAATTTGATGCCTTCGATTTCAAGCGCGCTCAGGTGGAGACGGATGCAGCTGGCAGTTTGGATTTTGATTCTATTTTAAGCAAGTCCTGATTTTTCTCTCTCTCTCAAAACAGGACTGTGGAATTAAAAAAAAAAAAAAACCACCCCAAACCTCCCACGTATTAAGAATGCAAAATTCACTCCTTGTAGAGCCAAATCACTGAGTCTTTTAAGGTCAGCATAACTATGAACAAGCTTTTTTTAAAAAAAAAAGAAGAAGAAGAGAGTTCTCTTTCCAAAGGCGTCTTTATTTCTAAAGAAAATTAGACGGGTCTTGTTTCCCTTCCTTCCACTTTGCCTGCCTACTGGTATCAAAGTCTTGATCTCTCTGTAGTTTTAAGGAGGATCGTTGCCTCCTGTATAATTAAGCCTTTCAGAAAAGTGCCGTCTTCCTGCTCGAACTGGACTGGATGACTCAGCCCGGGATTTGAGGCTCTTTATTTACTTATTGTTGAAAAAAAAAATAAATCAACTGAATGATCGATCTAGCTCTTGATTTTGCCCTTCTCGGTCGTGAAGGCGAGCTCTTCTGTCCCCCTGCTTACACGTACCCCCCCCTCCCTTCTCTTTCCTTGAGCAAGCGCCTCTCTAGCTTAGTATCCTTGTTCTCTGAGCTCCTTTACTCTCCCTGGATGAGTCAGTGCAATGGCATTAGTTCAAATCCCGAGCCTCATTGCATCTCCTCTTCTTAAGATCTGCACCATGTGGATTTCCAGCGTCAAACTTGCAACGTGGCCACGCCCCCTTCGCGACGCGGAGCCTCCCACTTGTAGGGGGGGAGGAGGAGGAGGAGAGAAGAGGAGGGCGAAATCGGTCGGCCCATTAAACCCGACCCGGTTTACTGAACGCAGACGATCCGAAGGCGGGTAGGCAGGCAATCCAGGCAGACGTTCTCACGCCCACTCGCCATGCCGCTCGACCGGACAGTCCGTTTGACTGGTCCGGAATGGTTTTTCCTCTCTCTCTCTCCCCCCCCCCACATCTTGGCTTAGTCTGTTCCATTGTCGCAGGTCGCGGTTGCCAAAGATGGTCATTTGCGTTGTACTACGTGAGCGCGGGTTTCCTTGGTTAGAATGACGCGTTGAGAGAGGGATTCCCTGCTCGCCTGCCACAGATCAAACCTCAATTAAGGGACGAATCTTGTTAGAAAAGGCGGGAAAAGCGGCTTCAAGAAGCCTCTCTGATTTGCCCCGGATTCTTTTTTTAGGGGCAGGTTGACTTGCGCGGGAGCGAAGGCATGACTCGAGGGCGACTCGGAAGGAGGACGGGCGGGGAAGAGTAGGGGAAAGTCGCATTCCGGATGCCGCGAGGCTTACTCAAATAAAATTTGAATTTAAATGGATGTTAAAAGGTGGGCATGGTAGCAACGCGAGTATCCCGAAAAGGGCGGCGAAGTCGAGAAACGTGGGCAGATCCCAAGTAGCGTTGCTGGAGCTTCATACCGCATAGGATCCCATTGACACCCCCGTCTCCCTAGGCCAGGGGTAGGCAACCTTGGCTCTTTTATGACTCGTGGACTTCAACTCCCAGAATTCCTGAGCCAGCTGTGCTGGCTCAGGAATTCTGGGAGTTGAAGTCCACGAGTCATAAAAGAGCCAAGGTTGCCTACCCCTGGCCTAGGCATTATTATTGTTCTTGCCATATAATCTAACATCCGAGGCTTCTGAGGTGCGATCATCAGATCTCATAATTCCCTGAGCTCGCCTGCTCTATTTACAACCCGGAGTCCTAGAACATGGACTCTACAATCTGGAGCAGCTCCTTGTCCAGACCCGATTCATTTCTGTACTATACACGCATTGCTACTGTCGCTCTTCATTAAATTATGGGGGGAAACGGCTGACGGCCGCTGGCGTTTTATTCGTCTGACAGATTACAAACTCAACGGAATAGTTGCGTGCGTGTTATTGTTATGGCCAAGCATCATTTTTTTTCCCCGTTGAACTCAGGGAGCCCGATTTCCTTTGGGAATTGCACTCTTAAGGCTGCAGCACGTGGACTCCACCAAGCCCCGAATTTGCTCTTATTTCGAAGTAAGTAAGAGGCGCGGGATCGGCTTGGAATCGCACAAAAGAACATCGCATCAGCAAGACAAGAGCATCTGGGAACGCTTTGTTCCCAACGGGCAAAATGACCGGCGCCCTCCTTGCAGTCCTTCGGCGCGGAGCTACAGGATTTGTTCGTAGCCACCGCCAAGTGGCGCAAGCCATTTAAGGAGGAGGAGGAGGAGGAGGAAAGCCCGGCCGGAGCTTCAAGACTACCCATATTCCTATGATCCTGGCCGACGGCCTACCGTAAACTATAAACAAGTTGCAAGGAGAGGAGGGGGACTTTATGTTCCCTTCGGCTCCGGTCGGGCGCTTGGCCCGGATCAACCTCGTCTGGAGCCGGACCAGAAAGCCTCCCCTTCTTCGCTGCAAGAGCCACGCCCCTTCCAGTAAGAGCCGGCTAGCTTGTGGGCGGAGCGGCCCTGTTGCTGCTGCTGCTGCTGCTGCTGCTGATTGTGCTGCTTTGCACGCAGCGACAGAGTTACTCGGGTCGGTTGCCTTCCAGTAAAGTGACGTGGCTGATGGCTAAGCCCCAGAGATCAAGGAGTTTCTGTGGAATTTGGGCGGCCCTTGATGCAACCTTGCAACGCCGCGAAGAAGAAAGCGAAGCGGTGACGCCGCCAGGACGGGAGGCAGCGGGGCCGGAAACGTAACGGGGGCAAAGATCTGCCCAACCCAGACCGGAGTTGCGGGAAAGGAGGGAGGGGGCGGCGGAAGATGGAATTTCCCGCTGAGAATTACGTCTGCCCGGACATTTGGTTTTTTTCGAAAAGGCAGCTCTCCAGGAAATTAGGTGCGCACGGCTCCCCCTGCCTATATGGAAACTATGTTTGCATAAGAAAAGAAAAAAAAACTCTGCCTCCGCATCAGCGGTTCAAAGTAATTAAAAAAGAGAGGAAGAGAGAGTCCCGGACAAGACAGGGATGGATCCCGAAGGGCCTGCAAAGCAATGGGCCGTCTGTTTTTGTTTAAAAATACTGCCAGACTAGCAAAGTAACTGGCAATTGAAATGGAACCCAAAAGTGGCTCGCGTGTCGCCTTAAAGAAATATACATAATTATTTTTTCGGTTTGAAGACTGATTTGCCCACTAGGTCAGTGGTGGTGAACCTATGGCACGGGTGCCAGAGGCGGCACTCAGAGCCCTATCTGTGGGCACCCGCATCGTCGCCCCAGTCCTAGGCCTTCAGCTGGGTTTTATAAAACCTTTTCGCTTTAGGCCTCTGCTGCCATGTGCAAAAATAAAAGGTTCAATCAGTCAATTTCAACTTCTTGGGGGAAAAAAAGATCTTGCAAAGTTGGAATTGATTGATTGAACTTTTTAGTCCCATCCAGTCTGCCATTACCACCACAGCCATGCCCACCCAATGGGCCACACCCACCCAATGGGCCACGCCCACCTGGCACCCGACAATGCGTAAGTGGGTTTTGGGTTGCAGTTTGGGCACTCAGTCTCTAAAAGGTTTGCCATCACTGCACTAGGTTTTCAGATGCCATAAATGATATGTTCGGAAATGTTCTGCTGATGGTCACATAAACTGCATTTAGGCCCCCTGTCCCCTAACGCTAGCTAGGTCGCTGCATGATTCAAAACGAAAGCTGGACATCTTGGAAACTGCAGAAAGAGCAAGAAATATCCAGAACAAATACTGTGTGTAAAAAAACTCTTGATTTAAGTGAGTATGAATTCCACAAAATGGAGTTCTGTGTTGGAGTTTTCAAAGAGACAAGTGCTTCCTTTCATTTTTGCTTTACAGTGCCAAATTGTCAATACACTTCTTGAGTCAGGAACATGATGACATCAGTACATGAAGCTTGCAGTGGTTAACATTACTGCAATCAATGTAAAATATCATTCTCTAAACATGTGTCTTTTTGAGGTGTTGGGACTACAATTCCCAGAATACCTAGGTGACTTCCTCCAAATTTGCTGTACTACAGTAGCAACTACTGAGTAGAGATGTTCAAGTTGATGTTCAATCGTAAGTCCTCCAAGTCCTGCTCAAATCATTGACATCTAGGATTAGGATATAATTTACCTAAGGAAGAATTATTCTAAGGTTAATAATAGCTGTCTTGAAGATTTATAAGCACACACCATGGGTCAGTTATATTCATAGTAGTTACTATATCTTGATTCCACGAGTAGCTATTTCCTGGATACTGTTGTATGGCCAATGTAGGTGAGAGGTTACACTGACAGCATCATAAAGCACAGCTTGGTATATATTTACAATTGTGTGATATAATTGTAAGAGGGGCTTAAAAACAAGACTATGGAAACTATAGTCAAAGAATGTGAAGTCTACATGACTAATTTACTGTAATAATTTCATTGTGCTTTTGGCTGATAGGTTTTATCAATCATCTCAGCGTTTTGCAGTATAAAAAGCTGAGATAAAACAGTTAAGGCAACACCACTCAATGAAGCAATGTGTAGAAATCTGTAAGCCATATCAATTACTGTAGATCCTGATATGGCCATGATTCATTGTTTACATACTGAAGTTCCCATGATTTATTCCTGTCATCTCTGGGTAGATCTAGAAAAGGCTCCTGGTTAAACCCCAGGAGAACTGTTGCCAGACACTGAATAGTAAGGTCAAGCAGAGCTGAGATTCATGGGTTATATTTAATGTGTTTTCATTATTAAAAACCCAAATCCTTATATCATCCAGTATCTTTTGGACTTATGAACCTGAGGATTTATCTTGATTGCCATAAAAGTCCATTCCTGATTACCGGAAACTTTGCACAGAAAACAAGACTTATTTTGTTCAGTAGCTACTAATCAAGATTGCCATTGACTTCAATTCCAAAATGCCTCTGGAGAGAAATTGTTGGGT